AATTGAGTTTACTGTGAAGTATGAGCGTTTTGTTCTTAGGATAAAAGAAATACTTAGGGAACAAGAAACTAGAATTAGGTTAGTGTACCATATTTGAAATTGAAGTCAGAATTATGCTATAGAAAAATTGGAACAGCCTATTTGAAGAAATATAGGAATTGCTTAGAGGGATTACTGTAAAATTCAGTGATTGCTAAATTGCTCATGTAGCAGAAATGGCAGGGAAAACAGCAATATGCTAAGCAAAAAATTGTAACTGATTGTGTCATTCTGTTGATGTAAAAAAAAAGTAAAATAGTTCTCATGAGTCATGAGACTTTACTTTTAAAATCAGCACGTTTAAATATAAACTACTGGACCACATACATTACAATAGTCATTTTAAAATTTTAAAAAATGTTTTGTAACTGCTATAGAAGGGTGGGTTTCACAAACCAATTCGGTATAATTTGTTAGCTTTATAAGAAGGAGCAGAATACTAAAGTGACTACAAAAGTGTTAAATTTTAACTAAATTTTGAGTATTTTGTGAGTACTAATTGAAAAACCTGTATAATGAGTGCAGCAAACTACTTACCTGTAATTGTGGGAAACTAATATTAGTAGGAAACATAATTGGTGCATATCTTAAGGCCGCCTTAATTTGACAAGAGAATGGTAGAATGTACAGCTTACTGGAATGAGGAGGGAGTCTGCATATAATTTCAAATGCAAATTAATTAATATTAGATAAAGGATAAAATTCCATTCCAAGGAGTCTAGAAAAGTCCACACTATCTTAGTAGAGCTGACAGCAGCCATAAAGGGCAGATATTAATTATGTCCAGTCCTGTCACTTCAAGCTGATATTATGATTGCGTAATTACTTTCTTATCAGAAAAATACATCTGGAAAAGATATCATGTAGTGTTCTAATCAAAAGAGGGTATACTAGAAAGAAATATGTACTTTTATTAACGTATTAATGCTTATGAAATGATTTTTCTAGCATGAAAGCCTGAGGATAGATTAGTTAGAATCACCACAAAATATACTGCACATTTAGCTCTCTGTAATAAGTGAGTATAATCTATCAAGAGATAGTATTGAATAATGGAAATGTCCAAAATATTTTTCTTTGGTTTTTGTCACCTTCATTTCAGAGTAAAGATAATGATCTACTACAGAATTATTATATTATCATAATTCAGATAAATAATTTCAGTTCATTTCATGAAGGGTGACTAAGGAACAATTATGTTCTTTTTATTTTTAAAATATGAAAAATTTTGAGGTTCTTGGTTTGGTAACTTGAAAAATAATACTTAATAAATGCAGAGGCTTCATAATATAGTCCTTAATGTCAAGAGTAATGGAAATGTGAAGGTCTCTTAGGTGAGAGATTATAATAGGAGATAGAATCATAAAATAAATATGAATTGTGTCATGACAATTGGAACCAAAGCATACAAATATTGGAGAGAGACTTTAAGAGAATTAAGTTAGTATTTGTCATAAATTGGAATCTGGCTATAGTATCATTGAGGTCCATTTAGTTGCTTCTTTGAAATGGAACTCTTTGATATATAAATGTAATATGTATATATTTATGAAATATTCTGTTCATAATGCCTGGCTTCAGCTTTTTGATAAGAACACATTGGGACCTTTTTTTTTTTTTTTTAAGCTTTTGTTTTCAAAAAGAGGCTGGCCTCTTACCATGGTGCTATTTAAAAGGTAGGAGTTTTTTTGTCCACCCCCCACTCCTTTTTTTTTTTTTTTTTTTCCCCAAAACAAGTGCATTTGTTATTCTGAGCTTAAAAAAATAATGCTGAGGCTCAGGCTGACAGTACATTCTTTAAGCAACTGTTTATGATTTCTTTATCAAGCCATGTAAAAAATGAAAAAGGCAGTAAGACACACCACATAGTGTAGAGGATTAGAAAGCTCATTCTCTTATCTCCAAATGCATTTAATGTGTTGAGCTTTATGTACATTTGAAGAATTCTTGCAATTAAGTGTAGGATTGTTATGGTTTGGATTTGGAGATGCATCACTAATGTTATAATCTTGCCTGTGTGTGAGAGTGTGTGTGTGTATGTGTGTTTTCCCTAAGTGCACTTCCCTAATTTTAGTTCACTCAAGAATTTAGTTCTCCAGCGTTTTATAGACAAAACATTATGGTTGTACTTAGTAGTTTGCATTATTTTTTACCTATTTAATATTTTAATATGCCTATTTTAGTTCACAAGGACTTATTTTACTAAGTAAAAAATGCAGAGATTTTTTAAAGCTACCTTCTAGTTATAATTAGCATTTCAACTAGAGGTAGCTTGGGAATTAAGTGAAACTGTTGCAGCTACGGTTATTGAGAGTCATGGTGGACTGGAGTTGGATGGCCTTTGTTCTTCAGTGTCTTCAAAATAACCATCTTTCATAATTAGGAGTTAGGAAACTCATTCTGGCTATTTTTCCTCCTTTTTTTCAATATATAATGCACTTAGAGATAACCTGTTTTCGTGTGCATTTGAAATATTCATTGTCAATAGTAAAGATGGTTTGTTTTTTTTTTGAGATGGAGTCTCGCTCTGTCGCCCAGGCTGGAGTGCAGTGGCGGGATCTCGGCTCACTGTAAGCTCCACCTCCCGGGTTCACGCCGTTCTCCCGCCTCAGCCTCCCAAGTAGCTGGGACTACAGGCGCCCGCCACCACGCCCGGCTAATTTTTTGTATTTTTGGTAGAGACGGAGTTTCACTGTGTTAGGCAGGATGGTCTCGATCTCCTGACCTCGTAATCCACCCGCCTCAGCCTCCCAAAGTGCTGGGATTACAGGCGTGAGCCACCGCGCCTGGCCTGTAAAGATGGTTTTTTGTTTTGTTTTGTTTTTCTCAGGCAGAGTCTTGCTCTGTTGCCCATGCTGGAGTGCCGTGATCTTGACTCGCTGCAGCCGTCTCCCGGATTCGAGTGATTCTCATGCCTCAGCCCCCCAAATAACTGGGATTACAGGCATGTGCCACCACACCTGGCTAATTTTTAAATTTTAATAGAGTGGGGTTTCACCACGTTGGCCAGGCTGGTCTCAAACTTCTGGCCTGAAATCTGCCCACCTCGGCAAAAGTGGTTTTTTAATACAAGAATTCTGCACGTTCAAGGTGGGGAAAAGGTTTACAAGGATATTTAATTAGACATATATGAAGAATGCTCACGTGGATCTGATATGTCTGGTTTGCTATATTTGGATTTCTGAGTGAATATAAGCTATCAATAACCATTAATTAATTGATGATCCATGTTTGTAAGGAATATTGAGATGTTAAGTCAGCACAACTTTGAGAGTTAAGCATGCAGATTCGCATGCTGTAATCAGTCTAGATTGTGGTTTTCTCTTTGATGAAATGGGCATGTTTGACTTGAACTTTGGTTTGGGCTGTGTCATTGTTGGGGCACTAGGAGTGATAGTTCTACTTTTCCAACCTTCTTAGAATTTGGTGCCAGTGGAGAGAGAGAAAGGGTAAGACAGATGGAGATCAAATGCTGATAGTTACATTGGATTGGAGAATGTGACTTAGATCTGTGGCCTAAGATTGGGCTTCTTAGTATAACCCCACTTTAGACTTTGAACTTTCTGTTTTAGAGGGAGACTGTGTGTACAAAGCAAGCACACATATCCGAATTGCTTCCTCATATCCAGTGGGCCCTGATGGCAAGAACACAGAGAGCTGGGCCCGTGGAGCTGCTTTTGAAAGGCAGGGCCACCTGTGCCTAGCACGTGGGTGGAGGAGCTGAGAGGAGACTGCAGGTTGTCTATGATCAGGAAGTTGTTAAAATAAGGAAGGGACTGAGGCAGGTATGCATGCTTGCATTCTTTCTGCAGACCTTCAGAGTGAGGGAAAAGTGGAGAGGTACAGAAACTTTCTCTTAAATACTTCAAAGAGGTGGAAGCGCCTTTATCATGAAGCCATAGGAAATCTCCATTTGAAAATGCAGTACAAGTTATTCAGCTTCCCAAGATAAATATTTATTCTCATTTAACATTAGTGCTAAATTTCCTTGCTTTTAACCTAAAACATCAGTGGAGACAAAAGAATCCCTGTTCTTCCACGTTCGAAGTATGTTAGCTATGCTACAGTGTTTTGCTTGTTTGAGTCTGGAGAGTTGAACTATCTGAGGAGAATAGGGTCTGTGGAAAACTACAGGGGATGGGGTGTATTTGTTACCATGGTAAATTGTAATCTAAAAGCCATGTTGCTCTTGATTGTAACCCTGGACAGTGGATTGGGAAGTGTTGCTGGACAAATACATAGTGTTTCCTTTTTTGATACCTAAGGAAAATGTAGTTATGCTTCATTGAGAGATCATTCTGGTTTGAGGTCTACTTCTCTGGATCCCCAATTGAATTGTGGTATACAACAAAAAGTGAGGTTAATTTAACCACTTAAATTCTAATCATCCTTGACGAGGCAAACTTTTCCTTTCACACTTATTCGTAGGAACCTTTGATTCTTGAATACTATAATATTAGAGGAAAATAAAAACAGCCAATTTCTGATCTTAATTATTCTGTTGTAGATCGTCAGAACCATGTTTTTGTTGTTGTTATTTTTTTATTGTTTTGTTGTTGTTTTCTTATTTGCCTTTTTCTTTGGTCATTTTACCTATAAATGTTTTTTGCAGAAACAAAAGGGAAAGGAGGAGGTGAAACCTAAATCAATCCTAAATCAATTTTTCTCCTTTTTTTTTTTTGACTTGTAAGCACCTGGCTTGAGAAGATGCATAGAACACTGGGGAATTATGAAAACAGAGTTTAAAATATTCCAAAAAACATTTTTATTGTTATAAAAAATTGAATTTTATGTTTCCATACTATTTACTGGAGACTTAGTTTACCAGTTGGGAATCTTTTAGACTTTGGAATGCCTTTTTTTTCAAATTGAATTTGACATTAATTTACTTGAACTTATATTGATGCCTCAAGAGGTGCATTATTTGTTGTGGCTGATCTTTCCTTTTTTTTCAATTTCAGGTGATCCCATTAAGATACTAATGCCGTCACTGTCTCCTACAATGGAAGAGGGAAACATTGTGAAATGGCTGAAAAAGGAAGGTGAGGAGGTACCTTCCTAATGTCCTGTGTGCTTTGTTATTTGGTTATTTTTTTTTTCTAATCTGTCCTGTTATACAATATGTGATATAAATTAAATAAATTGTGTCCCTTTGGTAGTTAATATAAGTTTGGTTAAATAAAATTTTCCCATGATAATGTAGCAAAGGTTTTCTGGGTTCAGCCTATATCCTTACACAAGCACAGAATGGTGAAAAATATTTTAAGGCTTATACCCAGCTTTTAGTTTCAACATCATAATTTTGACATTCTTCTTAATTGATAACTTTATCATGATTGTGTGTGTGTGTGTGTGCGCGCGTGCGTGTGTGTGTTCCGGGAGGTAGGCAAGTTCATTATAAATTTTATTGGAAAAAGCAAATAAGTAGAATCCAAGGAAAACCCTCAAAAGCAGAGCAGCGGAGGAGGGTTGTAGCCCTGCTAATTATTGAAACATAGTATTAAGCATTTCTAATTAAAACTCTGGGATTGGTACTTAAAAGACAGACCAGTGCAGCTGAGTAGAGAATAAGGAAATAGATGCAGTTGCACGTGGAATTTAAGTGTATAGTAAAGGAAGACAATATTAGATTTATTTTAATAAATAAATATTAGATTTATTTAATTTATATTAGATTTATATTATGTGAAGGATAAATTACAAATGAATTATACATTTAATGTATAAAAATGAAACTATGCAAGTCTTGAATTCCTCTGAACCTGGAAGTAGAATAAACACCCTAACTATAACTCAAAATCCAGATTATAATATGGGAAATAAAATTTGATACTTTTACATGGCTAAAAATACAAGTTAAGTAAAAAAAGAAGTGACAAATTGGACAAGAGTATTTGCAATTTCTATCACAAAGGGTTAATATCCCTAAAAAATCGATAAGACTGTCAACAAGAAAGTGGGTAAGATACATGAACAGATGGTTTATGGAAAAATAATTGCAAATGGCTCTTAAACGTAGAAAAAATTGCCTGACCTTTCAGCTGATAAGAAATATGCAGATACTTTACTGAAATGTCATTTCTTGCCGATTATATTGCCAGTAGTTAAAAAGTTTGACAAGCTGTTCTCTTGATGAGGCTGTGGAGGGAAGGGAAGAAGCAGGCACTCTTGGACATTGCTGGAGGAAATGCTAAATGGTGTAAATACTAGGGAAGAGAATTTGGCACTATTTAGAAAAATTACATTTATGTTTACCCTTTGGCCTAGCAGCTTTACTTCGAGGGATCTGTTTCAGTGTTACAGCAGCAAAAATAGGAAAAGTCACAAACACACACTAGGCTGTTTTTATCACAGCACTGTTTGAAATAGCAAAAGGTGGAAACAACCCAAATGTTGGTTAGTACAGGATTTGTTGAATAACTTTTACTATATCCACAACTGTAAAAAGGAATGAGGAATATCTCTTCATACTGCTATGGAGTGATGTTCATTGGAAAAAGCAAGGTATAGACAAGTGAGTATAGTATATATCATTTATCAAAGAAAGAGGTGGCAGTGCTAATATTTAAGAAATTAAAAAGAAAGGATAAAATAAAACTTTAAAAACAACAATAGATGGTTATTTACAGAGTAATGGAGGGAAAAGTGTGGGGAAGAAACTGGAAGCTGGACTTCTCTGAATATATCTTGTCTCTTTGACTTTGGGACCATATACATATTTTGCCCAAGTTTAAAACAAATTTAAAATGTAAATGAGTCCTAAAGATTGAAACAATGAGACAGGTGATTCTAATTCATTTTTTTCTCTCTCTCTCTCAATTTGCTTACATAACCATACAGAGAGGCACTATTTCAAATGTCAGATATTTGATTATATACCCTAATAGATTATAACTGAAGGATAAAGCATCTCCAAAAGTATAATCCTCAACTGTTAGAGTAATCATATTATGCTGGTTATGTTGGTATTGTTATTCTAAGCCTTTTTTTGTGTATTTTATGGGATAAAGCAAATGACTGGTTAAGATAGTATCATTGGAAACTTGGATTTTTAGTGGAGTTTAAAGGAGAAACAGGTAAAAGTTTCTAAGGTTAGGAAAGACTCTGTGATGGTAAATTTTCTAGCTCTTTCCCCTGGCAATGCCTGGAAACAAGGACCAATCAAGTCGCAGTGAGCACCCCTAGAACCCAGACTGTAGTCTCTAAATATCAGTTCCCACTAAAGTAAATGAAGGCTCCTTGGAGAGTAGCTACTTGCAGGTCTAGGGCAGGAGATGTGCAGATGAGCTTTTAATATCTTGTCAGTTCAGAAAGCAAGGAAGCTGTCAAAAACTCCTGAGGGCAACTTAAAGGACTCAGGAGCCATAGATGAGATAGTTTGAGGATCACTAAGGATAATAAGGATAATATATTTAATATATTTCAGTACATTAAATATATTTGAACCGTAAGTTCACAGTAATACTAAAGGAAAAAAAAATAATTGGTTAGCTTTAGAGGGTGGTAAGAAATAACTCATTTTGAAAATGTAATAAATGGAAAGACTCAAGCATTTTTCTCTACCTTTTCTGCTATATGAACTGTAGCTCTGAGTAACCAAGTAATTGATGAGAAGTTTCTCATTATTAGCATATCGCAGTTGTTAAAAGATAGAAGAATCATAGAATGTCACTGTATTGCCGTTTTGCAATCTCTGGTAAAATAGTATCATTAACAGCTGCTAACATCACAAAAAGAGAGATAACCAGATATTACATGCTTCCCACTGTGAAGTAGTCTTGCCAGAAAATTGAACCAAATACATTCAAGCCTATAGCTCTAACTATCATTTTCCAGGAAATACAGGGGGAAATATAACATGTTCAATGACACTATCAGAAGTATATCAGCAAAAGCTAAACTGAGGAATTTTATATGCCAGTTTCTTCAACCAATAAATTTCAGGGTGGCAGGGAAGAGCTCGGGGCAGGTGGTGGGCGAACCTATAGCATACAAGAGATTTGAGACCAATGCCAACGTATGGACCTTATTTTAATTATGATTCAAGCAAACAAAACAGATGGGGACATTTGAAAACTGGCTGGATATTTAATGATGCTAAGGATTTTTTTTTTTTGAGACATGGTCTCACTCTGTTGCCCAGCCTGGAGTGTAGTGGTGCGATCTCTGCAGCCTCAACCTGGGCTAAGGGTGATTCTCCCACCTAAGTCTCTTGAGTATCTGGGACCACAGGCACACGCCACCATGCCTGGTCAGTTTTTTGTATTTTTTTAGAGACAGGGTTTCCCTGTGTTGCTCATGCTGGTTTTGAACTCCTTGGCTCAAGTGATTCTCCTGCCTCGACCTCCCAAAGTGCTAGGATTACAGGCATAAGCCACTGCACCCAGCGTAGGGATTATTAATTCTAAAGGTTTAATAATATTTTGGTTATATTTTGATTATTTAAAAAAAAAATCTCACCTATAAATGATGTGAGATGAAATACTTATGTATGAAATGACAATATCTCTGGGATTAGCTTCAGAATAACCCTGGTGGAGGTTGAGAGGGTAGGGAGGGGTATAACTGAAACAAGATCAGTCATGAATCACTTGGCAGTTGTCTAAGTAAGGTAAAAGGTATATGTGGCTTCATTGCCTTTTCTCACCACTTTTGTATAGTTTGAAATTTATTTTTTATATATATATTTTTTAAAGTTGTACATAGTGCTTTCAGGATATAATTTGAAATGAGAAACTAGTACCAGATGAATTGGAATGTTGATATTATTAAGAGAATATTTGATGCAATACCATCTATAAAGCTGTATTACGTCACTGTTTCTGGCAACCATTTTGCCAGATTTTAAGTAACTAATATAGTGCTTAGGAAATAAGACTGTGAATAAAAGAGGTGAGTATGTTACAGTGCTCATACAGAAGGATAGAGGAACAGTTAATGTGAAGGAAGCTGGAGAAAGGGACTTTTTGTTTTTCTGGCAGCTACTTTCTTTTCCTTTTCTTTTCCCCTTTTTCCTTTGCCATGTGTGGTAGTAGAGTCACCCCTCTAGGTATTAGCCACTGGATAGCCTCTTTTAGCACCCTATGTAGCTGTCTTTCTCTGTGCTTGACTCATTCTGTATCAGGTTAAACTATTGTGGAGGAAAGAGGATGAATCTACAGTACCTATTAGGGAGTGTTAGACAGAAGAATAGAGAAATTAGAGGTGACTGAATGAGTCCCCCACAGCCATTATGATGCTTCACCTGGAGCAATGGTAAGTCAAGTGTTAAAAAGGGAAAGAAAGAAGGAAAGAGCAAGGAGAGAATGAATAACATGGTCTGGGGAGGATTTGTCTAATTCCAGAGACTAGCCCTGGCAAGGACTTCCAGGGTATCCTAATGTGATTTAGTAGGCACAGATGTCACTCACATGAATGTTGGTATTGAGTGGTCCAGTATAGTGCATATGAAATAGTATCAAGAGTTTAGGCAGTGGGCAGGACACCAGAGTCTGGAAGAGCAGTGTTATGATCCTAGGAGGTCTAGCCTTTCATGGCATCACTTTTGCCACTAATGATGGGTTTGGGGATCAGGAAGAGGACTGACAAGTATTTACTTGAGAACCCTAGCCAAATGAGCTGCGGAGTTTGGGACAAGACCTCACTTCTTTCAGGGAGTCTGGGGTGTAAGGAGAGGCGAGAAAAATTGCTGTGGGTTGAGCCACTATGGAGGTTAGGAGGTATGGTGCAGTGAGGTTGTCCAAATGAACATTACTGGTCCTTGATGGACCCAACCAAGTCTGATTGGACATACTACTAAATTTTGTTCCTCAGTGGGGATTATGTCTGAGTTTGTTCTTGTTTGTGCTTCCCTTTGTGACTAACATGGTAATTGGAATAGAACTGCATTGCTGTAAGTGGTCAGTTAGTAAAGGTATCAGCAGAGGGGAAAGTAAGCCAAAAGCAGGGTACATGACAAGGATCCAAGAAGGCTTTGCAGATGAGGTAGTATTTGAACTGGTCCTTGTAGAATAAATGGGCTTTTTTAAAAAGTGAGAGGGAC